TCAAAATTGATTTTAAGCGATTTATAAAATAAATACAAACAAGGCACAAAATGCGATAAACTCAACAATTAGTACATTAGCACAGCAGAACAAACAAGTGATAAAGCATGTAGTCGCTCTGCTGGACCACGGCACTTTATCGATCGATATCTTGGCCAAGAGACACTCTATGAGATCAAGATAACTTGCAAAGTCATTGGTCGCTATTTATAACTTTGACCTGTAATTTACTACGTCATTTTCCATATAAGGAATACTGAAATTTTCCACTGAAACAGGTCAGCGTCTATGCCCTTTATATAGGGCCTGCGCGCTTCACGGTCGAAGTAGGTCAGCCCTATATATATAGGGCCTGCGCGCTTCCCGGGTAGCCCGGCTCACGCCCTTTAGGGCCTGCGCGCTTCCAGTGTTAATTCCGATTTGCGTTTTTCAGGGTTAGGGTTACAATTAGGGTTAGGGACCAAAGCGAAACGTGCCTGAGGCTATGTAAAATGCAAATCGGAATTAAACGCGGGAATCTTAACTATCGCCAAATCCATATCAACAGATCTAGGCCAGTTCTATCTATCCCTTTGTCGTAGGCATGTTTTAAGTTCTGAATCCCCACACCCACATATCGGCAAGCTTTCCTCATCCCGTCATTGCAATTCTATAGGCACTAAAACAATGTGGATAGGCCTATCTAGTTAACTAGTACCAATAGGCCTTTTCTTATTAAAGATTCACAAGTTTCAATTTCTACAAGTAGTCTTAGTAGGCCTACACAGATGTAGGACCAAATTTATAAATGCTCTCTTCGGGAGAAGTGGTCCAGGCCTAACTCCGTAGAAATTTATACATTATGAATGTACAATCGGAAACAAAAACAGAAGTTGTCTAAAAAAAAAGGGGGGGGGGGTGTACAGGGGGGTCTGTCCCCTGCTAAATTCCCAAAAATAATGTTTTGTGACAGTTTTTAGTGCCAAAATTCTTCTCAGCACCCTAAAAATGTTAAAATAGTGCTGAAAAATAGTCTAAAATGGGTCTGGACCTTTTCTATAAATTTACCTGTGGCCTTTTCACCCTGGCAACTCAGTCAGCTTTAAAAAAAATTTTTTTTTTTTTTTTTTTTTTTTTTTTTTTTTTTTTACTAAACTTCCATTTTTGTTTCCGATTTTGAGTATAAATTTCTATGGAGTTAGGGTGGGACCCCTTCTCCCGAAGAGTGCCCAAATTTCGACCCAGCCAGTCTTCAGCTTTTTTTTAAAGATGTAGATTTCTTGTTGTAGAATTATAGGCCTGATCCTTGACATCATAAAATGTGCAGCTTCCAAATTCATCCCCAATTATGGAAGAGGCTAGCCCTACTTAATTACGACTTGATGGTTAGTCGTACTTAAGTACAGCTAGACTGGCAGGCTAGCCGTACTTAAGGCTAAGGACGGTTAGATCTAGACTAGCAGGCTAGCCGTACGGTTAGCCACTTCGCCCAATTATTGAAGTGCCATGGACTGCCATCTACAATGTCACAGTCGCATGGCCATGGTTTGCCGTTCATCTTTGCTCATATACTCTTCAAAAACATTACATTTTTATACTGTCCCGTCCCGTAATTGCCATCTCTATTAGTAATTTACTTTTCAAGTTTATGTACATTTTATCCCCGTAAGTTGCTCTTAGTTATTTGTCTACCCCTGCCCTGTTTGCATACATTTTTCCAATGAGAACAAAATGTGTTGTTGAGTTTTGAAGTTTTCCAGAAACTGCATGTTTTTTAACATTTATCTGTTCCTTATTTTTTTTATTGAGTGGCCCACTTGAGGTTCTCTTAGACTGAGAGTTAGTGCTGTGCGATTTTGAGGAAACAAAATTTCTTTGAAGCTCAATATTCATGCCATTCGGATACACAGTCTCTGCCTAAACGCACGCCATACAAAAACATGCTCTGCTCTAACGCACGTTTTCATCATATGAAGGGTTGCCTTTTACGATATAATTTAGACTTACAGGCGCACGGTCACTTCCTCTAAACGCATGCTCCCATCCGCGCAACACATCGACAGGTAAAGCTTGACAAAGGGAAATTTTCACTACAACCTGCACAGCTTGCAAAAGACAAGCCTAGAAAACCTTATATTTACTGAGACTGCCCCTCACGCTGAGCAAAGAGAGTGATGGACAATGTTTTTACACTCAACTTTCCACTGACACATAGGTCTACAGGGCAACTTAAGAGGTTCCTTCATCCTTTGGTTGTCTATCAAAAGGGGTATTTAAACCCTTGTTTTAGAAACTTAAAGGGTTGTTTTTTTTTGTTAATGTCTGACAATCTAATCCTCAAAGTCAATTATCTCCTAATTTTATAGAGAATTTGTTGCATGTAAACTTTTAACTCACATGCACATTCACACAGACACACATAGAGTGACCATGACTATGATTGAATGTTAACGATTTTTAATTAACTGTAAGGTTTTATTGAAACAACAATAAATAAATTAGTAATATTGACTAGAATTTAGAATTAGAGTTGTGTCCACTCAGAGAGAGAGAGGGGGGGGGGGGGGGGAGACTCCCACGCTTTTTTTTTGGGGGGGGGGAAGAGGGTGGTGATGGTTAGGCCAGTCAAAAATAAAATAAAGTTGACAAACCAAAAGGGGTCAATTCTGACCGTAATACACAAAGAAAATAAACTGTTTCATTATATTCTTCAGAGCTTCTGTCACAGACAAAAGGTGACTGCCGCGTATGTGTGGGAGTGTGTTGACTTGGCTTCGGGATAGTAAAGTAAAGTTGTTCCCGCATCCGATCCGGACATTGGGGATTGCCTTGTTAGTGAGACAACTTCCTGGGTCATGGATAAAATATTTTTGTGGTAGGGTGGTCAGTTCCTTTCCACACCGCCTTTACTTCCCCAACTCGAAGTCAGGTACCCATTACTGCTGCTTCGGGATAGAGAAGGGAAAAAATTATGCATGCCAGACGCACACCGCCTACATTTTAAAGCATAAAATATGCAAACCCCCGAAATGAAATTTTAAAGAGTAACGCTCATGCACCACCAAAACTTAAAGGGGGTAATCTGCAGGATTAATGTGTAATATAAGCCACATCTGTGTGTAATAGGGAGCCCTGGGTCTAGGACTGGTCGGTGAAATGTTGGGCGGTTGGGGGACTGAAAAGTTTTTTTGATTGGTCACTGGAATTTCGTCTTTGAGAGGTTTCTGACTAGTGTTTGGGTGACTGCATATAATGTTTAGTTAGACCTAGGCCTATGATGCGCAACACGTGTGAATGTTGTAAAATGCTAGGCCTCTTTAAAGATTAATCAAGTAAGCCTTATCAGCCTCGCTTGAAGAACTTATAACATACTTGTTCAAGTTGTATTCAACGAATCACAAGTTTCTCTGAATGTTACAGATCTATGATTCTGATGTTGTCCATGAATAAAATTACGGTCAAGGGTGGTCACTTGGAAAGCCATGTGCCTGGGCCATCATCTCTATGAGTATCACCAACAGTTTCCTCTTAGGCTATCTGTTCACGACATTTTATGGTACATATATCAGTACATTGAGTCTTTCTTTCTGCCCCCACCCCCACCACCCACTCAATACCTTTGTATTCTTAACTCCTGTCGGGGAATCCTTCATAAAATAGTCACGTGTCGTAACATTACGATTTATCAGCCAAAGTGACCCCCACCCCCAAGGGAGGTCTCTAGAATATCAAGGAATTGAGATGACTGCGCTAAAGAGCCCTCTCGAGCACCGTGCATTTAAGCAGAGACTACTTTTCCACCGTCGAATGTTGTTTTCGTATTTATGATAAGCCCAGTCCTTACTTCCGCTTTTCAACATTTGCTAACTATTCACAGCGCAGTCAAATGATTTTTTATATGTGATAAGTCCAGGGCTAACTTCTGCAGTTCTCAGTGCCATTGAATAGGGGAAGGAGAGCTCATTGCAAGCTACAGCTAATTTCATGGAAAAAACATTTGCTACCAAAGAGGTTATATAAAATAGAACATCGCTGCACTTCCAGAGCCAAGTGCCCTGGCTTGAGCTATTCATGTTGTGAATAGTAATAAATTCTTTAGAGGAGTATAAATATATTCTACCGTATTATTATCACTTGTTGGCTCCTCTTATCACTCTGTCTCGTAACCATCAAGTAAATGATATATAATTTCAGTATTCATCTCATTGAATTTAAGAAAAATAATGTGCCCCAATTTTACAATGGTTTTAGAAAAATGAGACGAAAATCCATTATCAGTAAAATAAAAAAAAGAAAAGAACTTTTCCTTAACATAGAAATATATCTGAGAACCCTTTTTAAGCTCAGGGCTAGTGGTGGATATTATAACTGTTTAATTGTTATAATAGGCTAGGAGTGAGTGAACTTGTATCTGAACTGACATGGAGTAACATTAGCAGTCACTGTGATGCAGCTGAGTGTATAACGTGCTGTTTAGCTCTGTGTTTACTGGACCTGACTCTCATGTGTTCTGTACGTCTTCACAGCTAAATCTATTTCTTCTTGAAGTTTTTATTATCCCATGTATATCCATGCTAAAACCATTGAGAGGGAATTAAAAGTGAAGCTGAAAAAACATACCTCATAATATGAAAGCCTTGTGCTAGTGTGTTTCTCAGGGTTTATGAGCTAATATATATATTTACTTAGATTGGTACAGATTTTAAGTCCTTTGCCCAAACTCAAACTTTTCTATTTTCAAAGTATTACACTACCTAGTTTTGAGATTTGAATTGAAAGATATTTCGTAGAAAGTCCTGAACACCGGCAAAAGTCATGAAAGGAATTCCTTGAAATTCTACTTTCTATAGCTTCCATGGTATGGTGTGGTGTAGTATTATACGGACTCGGCATTCTATTGTGAACATGGTTTTAAATTATAATTAAGATGACACAATCTAGTTTGCTTATGTTGATATTCATTAATCACGCGTTAAAGTATGCCTGTCAGGTCTCTCACAGTTCTGCTCAATGTATTTCAGACTCTATGTCAAGACGTTCAAATTCAAGGAGCTCTCCAGTTTGTGAGGATGGAAGGTCTTCTGATCTACACGAGTGACAGTGAGGCAAATTCCTCAGATGAAAATGAAATCATCATCAGTGCAGAGTCAGAGAATTGTGCGAAAGATGAAAAGTCACCTAGTTCTAATCTAGATGTTGAGCAAGAGAAGACTCGAATTTGTCAACCAGGTTCCAAGAAGAGTTCTGATGAAAACGCTCTTCTTAAATTAACAAATTCAGATGTGGAGGTGAAGACAGATAAGCAAAGTACACATATTGAAAAAACACCCATAGCTTTTTCTGATTTTTTGGGTTTAGGGTCACAGTCACTCTCTGGAGGCTTTGATCCAACTGTACAAAACAATCTGCCCCAGAGTCTTACTAGTGTTTCAAGTTACGAAAGTTTTTCTTGTAATGAAATTCAAAAGTCTGTTGATACCCCTTTTGGAACAGTTGAGATACCAAATGGAGACTTCTGGAAAGATTTTACTCCTGATAAGGACATGATTTTACAAGAAGGTCAAGGGACAGCAAATATGACAAGGACAGGTCATTCTGTGTCAACAGTCGATTCAAACAGGGCAAGAAAAAGATCCTCCCAACACATATGTGATAAAGATGGAACTTACTCTACATCCCCAGTGTTCAGCAGTAAACGTAGTTTGCACCATGGTCTTGTATACAGTTGCAGTAACAGCCAGCAAGAAGACTCTGATAGCTCTCATGCCTTGTTGACTAGAGTTGTAAGTCACAGTAATACTGTGGTGACTCCAGAAAGATCAAGCTCAAATAACTCTGAAAGAAAGATATTCTTCGTTCACAGCAAGATTGCTCCTTATTTACATTCCAAGACATCCTGTAAATGCAGCCATAAACTTTCAGACACATGGAAGGCTCATTCGACTGTGATAAATCGACTAAACTGGAATGTTCCAACTTATGCCCATCTTCTTCTCACAGCTGGTAAGTTTTTCTTTACAAATATAAAGTAACACAGATTTTATTTGTGTTGTGTCGTAATTTACAATGTTTCTCTTTTTGCAGATTTTTATGCCAAGGTAAATATTTTGTTACAATAAATAAATAAATAATAATAATAGATTATGTTTAAATGATCTCCATACGGAAATTAGGTAACAATGGCAAACAAACATAAAAATACTTAATTACAAACATACATAACATAAAATGTATACATACATACATACATACATACACACACACACACACACACACACACACACACACACACACACACACACACACACACACACACACACACACACACACACACACACACACACACACACACACACACACACACACACACACACACACACACAGATGCACCCATACACACACACACGTACACACATACACACACACACACACACACACACGCACACACACGCACACACACACACACACACACACACACACACACACACACACACACACACACACACATATACACACACACAATATTATACCAATACAGAACTATTTTACGAACATATCATTGCTGGTTGCCACTATGCAGTATCCTGGTTTTTGTGCAAGGGTTGTCGTCTCTTGCTCAGTGACCACCCATCTCACCCTGTGTCACCAGCACTTGCTTGACATTACTTTGGAGTCTGAACTCACTACTCCCTTAGCCAATGGAGCCCCCTATACTGATTACAGTAAGTCAACTCGGAACCTGAGACTGTGAAAAATGGGTATTAAAGATCTCCATATGTTGTATATTAGATCTATATGATTTCTCTACGAATGGCAGTATTGAATGTGTAACAGTGATTCTGTCCTTAAGTTCTGATTGATGTAATGAAAAATCTAAAAAAGAAAAATTAGTTTTGCATTTTTGGTAATTTAGTTTTCCATTTTTTATTAGAATAGATCTATAGGATTTATCGACTTGGAGTGCGTTCATTACTTTGTTTTTTTTAAGATGAATTAAAATAAATTTCAGTCTTTTTTGTTCCTCTCATCCTCTGAGAAATCAATAATTTTGTCAATGATTAATGCATTGCCTCTGTCTTCAGGAATGAATGAGGAAGTTCGGGTGTGGAATGTGTGGTCAACACTGGATTCTTGCGTTTCTGTTCTGCATGTTCATAAAAAGCCTGTAAAGCATGCTGAATGGAGTCATGATGGGAAAGCAATACTATCATGCAGTTACGATAGAACAGCTCTAGTTACTGATGTCGAATCAGGTAAGAATACAAAAATGAATACATTTATAAATGATCTTTTATTTTGTGATTCCAGCTTTGTCTGGACTTTTTTTTTCCAATGGACTTGTCGTAGTGGGACTGCCATTATGTCATTACTCAATCTTGATTTCATGATGCTTACTGTCAAGAGACCCTGTTTTTTCTGAGTCTGATCAAACCTGACCCTAAAACTTTTCCTGCCTATTACAGTTAGTTGAAATATCATACAACTAATTTAGTGCTGTGGGACAGAGTACCACACACTGTACTCCGGCAACCCCTTGTATCTTCTCCATAATGACATTGGTTAATCCTGCAACTATAGAAATATAGTTGAAATTGTCCAAGTTGGCCACCCATTGTCAAAGAGAAAAATGTTAGTCTTAGACAGGTGGACACCTTGGAGTATGTCATTATAAAAAATCAAGGGGGGGGAGAGTGGGAAGTGATTTTTTGTACAGTTGTTTGTATTGAACATGTAGCCATTTAAAAAGACTTGAATGTATCTATATATAATATAGGTAAAGGAATTGACAGGTGTAAAATATCTATTGTTGACACCAGTGAAATGGGCTTTTAAAGTAATTCGCTGGTCACTGAGGGGGGAATGGATTGCAGTGTTGACAATAAGGCCTTGTTTTATCCATAGAAAGTACATCCTTTGTAAAAGAATGAAGGTATAGAAAAAACTTGTTTCCCAACATTGCTCAATATTGCAATACTGTTGGGTCTTTTTTTCAGGGAAAGTGCTGTCCACTTGTGAGCATCCTGGTTTTGTGACAGCAGGCTGTGGCCACCAGTCCAATCCTTCATTGTTCATGACAGGAACTGACAACATGATTTTGTTATGGGACCGCAGAGTAAAGGAAGTTCCAGTTAAAAGCTTCCAATATAAAGACAAGTTTGGACAGGTTGTGTGTTTTTATTTGATTTCATTTCTTTCCACTCTCACTTTCCTACCGTGTAAACCTCAACGTTGATGCATTTGATTGAACTTGTAATGCCAAAGTAAGACTTAAAGATGAAAGGGGGGTATTTTGCTGCTTTTGCATTAGTTTCCTAAAGCTTGCACTGTTTTTTTACAGTATAGAAACATTGTTTTCTTTGCCAGCACTGAAGTGTCAAATAGGCATCACTTACCAAATTCATGTAATTTTGACAACTAATTCTTCTTAGATGAACATGGTCGCATTTCCTGTTTTGATTCGTTCTTTGTTGAGTGCGTGACCAATCTCTCACTGTTTATTAAGCTATCCCTTGCAAAATATGTATTTTACAATTTATTTTCAGTATTTTAGCGAGATTTCTTCCCATAACTTATTATGTTGGCATCTTTGAAGGCTACCTTGAGTATCACTTTAGGATGGATTTGTTAACTCTTAAAGGTGATCTTTCTTTTGGAAAAGTGCTCCCCAAAATCCAAATCCTGACTTACACTCAACTCACTCAACTCAAAAGCTGAACTTTACTTCAGGTTCAAGACATCATCTTCAGCAGTGAGCAGGAAATAGTGTCTTGCAGTGACCTTGTGGCCCGAGACTCTGCCGACAGAGGCATCATGGCATGGGATGTTCGGTCTGGAGTTGTGCTGTCGAACCAGATCTATCAAGTAAATTTTTCATTTGTGTTTTTTTTCAAGTTTGAATCTCACGTAAAACATTTTCTGGCTTTTCATTTCTTGCATTGACTAAATTTAAACAGAATGGGCCATCATTTCCAGGCAGGAAGGACATCAGTATAATAATAGAAAAGCCTTCTCCTGCAGAGATGGGGAAGTGCATAGCATATATCGATGAAAATGTAATCTCAAGTGCAAATGCAGTGGTTAGAACCACCGAGAGCAGTGCTTGCCAACCTAAGTAGTTTAGATAACCCTGGTAGTGAGAGATGTTGTTTAATACGTTGTTTGGAAATACAAGTAGGTGGGTGGTATGAAAATTGCAGCATATTAAATGTGGTAAAAATGGACCTTGGCTATAATAACATTGAAGAGCACTGACCTAGAAAATTATTATGCATTCTGAGCATAAAATTTCAGGAGCATCATTCCACCAGAAGGAAGTTGCATGCTCTGATCCTGCAGGTGTGTGGTCGATCTATTTATTACCCACCTTACCCACCTAACTACTGATGTAGTGGTTAGTGTTGGGGGGGGGGGGGGGGGGGGGGTGCACTCTAGTGAGGTCTGTCTCCCACTTCTACTTCTACTTTTCAAAGTAACCTATGTGGGTGGTTAGCGGGGTACTTTGGTATGGTTTCTCCATCTTTCCTATCAAACTCAAACATCTATGGTCCTTATCCCTCTTGCTTTTTTGTGTTTGCTACCCTCTTGAAAAAGCTTAATCTTCATCCTGCATCATATTACCTAATTGTGTTGTGAGTGCTGTATAACTCTTATTTAAACTAAGAGCTACCTTTGCCCAATTTCTGCTCCTAACAAAATGTTTGTATTTTACCGATTTGCCATTATAGGCGTACGTCTGTACAACAGGAATATTTATGTACTTGCAACAGTGTTTGTGTATTGAATTACACTTTCATAGTCCTTCATTATTCCCAGGAAAGGTACTCATGCACAAGGCTAAAAGTCCATTCCAGTAAGCAGCAGTTCCTTGCCCAGTCACAAGGAGGGTATGTGGCTCTGTTTTCTACAAGCAGACCCTACAAAATGGACAAAGCAAAGCGATTTGATGGTCACAAGGTAACATTTCCTCAGAGTCACTCCACAGGTGCCCTATTCATTGTTTAAAAAGTTTTTGAGAAAATTTATGAAAGAGAATGTTCAAATCAGAAGTTTGATAAGGGAACTTGATATTTTTAAAGTTAAAAGCTTGGAAGGAAATAACGAAACAGATAAAAAATGTATCAAAAGATGTCTCTTGACGTCTTTTTTTTTAACAATGGCTTTATCTGGAAACTCCAAGAAATTGTCTTGGACGTTTGGGGAACAAGTTTGATAAATACTAATGATTTGCTTTCCTAGAGTTTTGATATTTTTCTATATCTCTGGCTTGTACTGACACTTTGTTAAAATTTGTCTTTGTGATGATTTTCCTCTCACAGCTCAATAATCTCTGTGTTTCTCATTTGCTCTACCCAATGGCACTTTTAGAGATCATACTGTTAGAAGAAAAAAAAGTTAACAGACACATATATACACATGCACACTCATTTTGTATTCAGGTGTTCATTCCTCCATCAAATATTTGAATTCTCTAGAATTTTGATATATCTTTACAGAGTTTTGACTTTAAGTCAAGCTTACTTTAAAAAATTTTCAATAGCATGACAGCCCTTTCAATCTTTACTGATCAAATAATGTTTGTGTGTGTTCATTTACCTGGGTTGTTCTTTTTTTTAGACATGGGTCTAGAATCATTGTTTCATTAGTTTTTTCGTTCTAAGAAAGAAAGTAGGCTTTTATGAAAGTTCTGTCTTTATATATCAAGATACTGTGAAACGAAGCCAAAGGTTGGATGCTTAAACTTCTACTTAACTTCTCCACAGGTTCAAGGTTACAGTGTTGGCTTTGACATTAGTGCAGACGGCAGCCTTGTATACAGCGGGAGTTGTGAAGGCGGCGTGCATTGTTATGATCATCGCAGTGGACGTCTGATACGCAAACTGGGATCAGCAGTCGGAGATGTGATCACTGATGTGGCTTGTCATCCTGTGCTGCCTTCTTTTGTGGCATCCTGTACCTGGGCTGGCAGTGTGAGCATATGGTTTTAAGGACAGTATTTGCAAATTTGAAACTTTGTTTTTATGTCTACTTCACTTGTATTTGGACTGCTTATGTTATTAGTAGGTATGCATTACTGAGCGAAAATGATTCTTTGCAGGTGATCGCGTCAAAAATGAGTAGATCTAGAATTTTAAAACGTTAAACAAAATTTTTTTTTAGTCCCGCGTCCCGATTTGGTGGCGATATTTGTAAGTTACGAAAAAATGTGCCAACATGGTACAAGTTGTTATGCTTCAAGAAAAACAAAACACGAAAAAAAGGGATTTGGTGATGAAGATCAAGGCGGTAACGATGGTGATGCTGTAATGTTGGAAAAGATGTGCAAGTTAGTCTTTGTGTTAGTTTATTTCTTCATTTGGCGCTTACTCAGATCCCCTCGTAGGACATAACCCTCATTCCCAATTCCTTGTGTAGAGAGACCAGAAATTTGGAAACAAGTCGCCATCTTCAGTCCTAAAATTTAACAAAGGTATGCCGAAAAATCACACGAGGGCCCCTTTAAAGTGATGACATTGTTAGTGTGTTTGTTGCCCTACTTCTATGCTGTCCGAATGTCAAAACCGTGACCGGAGTGGGGCCAATAACCTTTGTAATATTTTTAACTAATAACTGTTAATGCAATTATGTTCCATAAAAAAAGGGTGAACTGTACAGGCTGGCTTGTGTGCTTACAAGTTATGGCTGTCTGCATTTGTCACAGATCCCGAGGCACTTCTGTGATTGTTGGAGAATGTAAAAAGTCTGAAAAACCATGCCCAGACTACCAGGGAATTACAAGGTCGCCTCTTCTTAAAATGCTAGCAGTGAATTCATCGATAATACAAACATATATACGTGCAAAATAATACATATAGACCTACTAAAGCAGGATTGGAGGACCAGAGATAAAATTGCGTACCGCGACAACTCAAGACACCACGGGCATTAAAATTATAAGCCCCATGTCTTTAAAGAGCTAGTCCTTTTTATAGACCACGATTAACGAGAAGGAGAAGACAGACTTGTAAGTATTAATTAATTAAGTGCACAAAATGTTATATCAATAATTACTTCCATATTCTATCCCCATATGATAACACACGATCACGAATGGCACCATTAAGTCTGACTACTAAGAGTATCTCTGTATATTGAAGGCAAATAAATAAATGCGTGCACGCCACACAGAGGCACACACACACACACACACACACACACACACACACACACACACACACACACACACACACACACACACACACACACACACAAATACAGTTTGACCCTTTCTAGAATCTTCAGAGTCTTCCACAGAGGTCTTGTCCTTGTTGGAGCTCTCGTGAGTGCTCAGGTTGACCGTTGTATCCTCTTCTTCCCTTCCTTTGTTAACAGACTCATTCTTAGGGTCGTTCACGTTTTCTACTGGCTGGCTCTGTGTTGTTGTAGCACGGGCTCCCTGACTCTTTTGTGTGTGTGTGTGTGTGATAGAGCAGAAGCAGTGGTAGTGGTAGAGGCACATCAGTGACCCTCTTGCCCACAGTGGTAGCACACAACTGTCGGCTTTGGCTGTTCCTTTTCATAAAGTTTAGCTATAAAAGAACCGATCTGTATCTCATTAGGGAGGTGGGTGGTAGGCAAGTTTTAGATTTAAATTATGTAAACTAGCAGATGAACCCTATGAGCGGGAATAAGGAAGCAGTCCTAAACCAGTAACAGAGAAATCTTGGAAGAAGCATGAAGTAAAAGACAGAAGACTAAGGAATTAAAGGAGGAAAACTGATCTGACTCACCTCACCCATTAGGCCAAAACTTCAGTGTAGACAACATTGTTTGTATGCCCAGTATGTAATTCATTTTCCTTTGGCATGTAGAGGTGCACATTATCCCCCAGAGCCAGGGCATTATTGTACGATCTACTTTGCTCGATACAGTTTAGTTTTACACATGAGTCATAGAAATGGATTATACATGCAGGAGGTTGTGGAGGTTGTTCTACACTCACCTTTCCATTTTGACAGCAGAAAGACTGCCGTTCAGACTGCCAGCGCAGTGCCTTGCAATGGCTACATACAATGTTGAAATCACCACATAAGTGCTTAAGAAGTTGGGCTGGAACCTGCTGCTCTTTAAAATCTTTTGTATTGACTGCTCCGGCTGAGCGACACAGTGGTTGTTTTCGTACTGGATGGTTCACCTTCTGATTTAGATTTAGACCCAGATCTACCTGTGCTAACACATTTCTTGGTTCTTGTTCCACAAAATGAATTCTCTTTCGTTTTGGTGTGAGTCGGGGCTTTTTCGGTGGCATTCTCAGACATAAGAACCTTTCAAACAACTTGGACAGGTTTTACGCGCTTCGATAAGTAAGGTATTGAGCAGCCGAATTCGTCCGCCTCGCGGTCAAGTGGTTGAGATATTAGATCTAGCTTAGATCTATCATCTAAGAAATAAGATCTACAGAAACAAAATATGGTCTAAATACTTTTGACTTACTTTACTTAAGATATTAGATCTATTTAAAAAATGATCTTACGATCGTGATAGAGGTAGATCTATATCTAGCCTTACTTTACTCAATAACTAAGGTATTGAGCAGCCGAATTCGTCTGCCTCGCGGTCAGGTGGTTGGGCTTATTATTGCCAGTTGGCGGAAGCTGTCGGAACAAAGGTGAAGTGTTTTTTTTTGGTTTCTTTGAATTAATAATTTTACAGTTTTTGGTTATTTGCAACAAAACGGCAGGTTTTTCTAAAAAATTAACTATCCCATGCAAATCCTCACCTAAATGCATAGAAAATTTCACAATTGTCTGTTATGCGGTTTAGGAGTCTATACGATCCAAATGTTTTGGGCCACGCTCCATTATAATATGATTCCTATCAACATGAGTTGGATCTAGATCTACTCTGTGTGTCAGAACCTGCAACTTCACTCTGATTCTGATTGTCTCCATCCTCACTATCACTGAACTCCACATCATCTAGATCTACGTTTGTGAATCTCGGATTTAGACCTACTTCACCTGATGCTTCAGTATCATTGTCTGAATCAAGATCTCTGTCTTCAAATTCCATTACAACATTTTCCTCATCGTCTGATCCATCAAACATTATTTGATCAAGCACCTCCTCTGTTTGAGACGGACACTTGCGTTAAGCCATTTTGCTAGAAAATTTCGTGTTCTTTGTTGCCTCGACTGCCGTTACAAATCGCCACAGAAAATTACGAAAAACGACACGATACGGTCAAGGGGAAATAAATGCAAAATAAAAATGGCTTAGCAATGTCGAACAAAAGTTTGTTCCCTGGAGTACCTTCATTTGTACTGCCACAACGGGGGTGAAATGCTATCAGACGTATGTGATTGAGAGGTAGAAACACTGTACTTACCCTCTGGCGTCAACTCACGAGCAGGAGAACATGTGAGGTTCAGTATGGTGGCGACTCTCCTGCGCTGGCCGGCTCAGATCACGTCGTCGGGCCCTCGGAGGTCACTTTGCCGGCAGCTACGAAACCGTCAGCCACTCTAGTCTCTAGTACTGAGATGGAAAAGAAGGGATCCGCTCAGAATTCCCGCCTCGCCTTTATACCCATGTTTTAGCGCCCCTAGAGTCACGGGGCGGCAACTCTGTTCAGCCCACTCAGCACCCCCTAGTCCCATGGGCCCGACACTCTCAATATTTCATTACTCCAATAACGATGTATTAATGTCCGATGCGTCTTCAATGGAGCTCAAGGCTCTTGGATATATTTGTCCGATGCGTCCTCAATGTGTTAAGCACTGTATTGGCTTTTCAGCATCTTTCGAAAGCAAAATCGTGGAATCTCCACAAACCGTATGTTTTCTAAGAATTGGTGCTCCTCTCATATCGAATCGATTATAATGCAATTATTTCCTTTTGAAAGTACTTAAATTCACTTTTCTTCCAGTATATTTTGAGCAAGCTAATTTCAACTCAAAATGCAGACAAATTTCAATAAATACTTTTGAAATGCTTTTTTGAACAGATTTTATTGAAATATTTGAGTTAAAAGTATATGGCTGAAAAACTCATCCATTTTTATATAAGGACCAATATACACATTGATGAAAGCTCAGATGCTTGGAAACATTCCTTGACCGAGCAAAGGTGAGACGAGAATATTGACAGCGAACATCATGCTGGTGCGTTGCCTATAAGCGTGTTTGAGCCTAGCTTATATATGTTCCACCACTTTTCTTTGGGTCACAAGAAGTTCATTGATTATTTTTTATAGATTTAAAGAGAAATAAATGTTTGTTTAATTTTTATTTTACAATTCAAAGTGCCCTAATCAGATTCAGTGACCCATTTCCACACTGAAGGAACACGATGTGGATACTGGTCAACTTTACAAAACCCCCTATTTATCTGTATTGTATCTCAGAGTTTTATTTTATGATATAAGCAAGATGCCTTAAGTGATGGTGCTAGGAGGATGCACTGGAGATCCATACAAATGATGCACACTTTATTCTCTGGGTTTAGTGCAGCTTCCTCATCCTTCTCCTTCTCTGCTCGAGAAGCTTTCCTCATTTAATGAACTGTGTTTTTGACGTTTCCAGATTCGAAGCTGGTTCAAATGCTCCACTGCTCTTTCTTTGGTGAAAACAAACTCAAATTGTTTTCCTTGAACTCATGGGAGAACACTTGATAGCTCAGTGTTTTTTTTCTGCATCTTTGCACATTTCTCCATGTATACTCGATGCAGATCTGACATGTTCAGAAATGTCATCTGCAGTTACGATTTTGTAGTTGATTTGCGACAGTAATGGGAGGGCATCTTCGCAAGTTTGTCAAAAAATTCCTCCTTCAGGAACAACTTGTAAACCTTGGATCTCTCATAGTGGGCATGATGTGTTCATGGGGGTGGGGAGGGCGCTTTTATTTTTTATTCGAAAAAGACTGTATATATACCAGCTGGTCAGGTCTGCAGTGGTCATGAACATTGTTTACAAACAGAAGAAATTCGTTGACCATTAACTCTTTTTAAGTAAGTGGTACTGAACGGTGTAATTCCTTCTTGAGTTTTCATTTGCTGTGTAGGATCTCTTCTTTTTCTATCCTGTTTATCATGGCATATGTACGTAGGCTCTCTTTTCCTTCCAAGAGAGTGACCAAACATAGTCAAAGCAGACTCTCCTGTTTAAGTTCACGGCATGTTACACATCTCCATTCTATTGTCGATTTTGTTGCTCTGTGCCTACAAAACTAGTAATTTTGTATTATCAAGACTACCTGCCTTCTTTTTTAAATTATTTTTTCTCTTTTGTGTCCTCAAGAGTTTGTGGCAGACTGAATCAAAAGTGTATGTTCACGTGTGTAAGTCAGCGTGCAAACTTTTGTGAGTACTTCTTAAATCAAAAGTCATAGATGTAGTTTCCATGAAGTGTGTGTGAACCCTCACAGGAATCAGTCGTGCATTTGAAGTTGTAGGCTTATTTACTAAAAAGAAAAAAAAATATTCACCCAAAACATACAATTCACAAGCCATTGCTGATTGTTAGAGGAGACATGCCTCTAGAGACACATTCACTGCCTCATGGCGAGAGGGGGAGAGAGAAAGAGAGAGAGAGAGAGAGAAATAGATTGATAGAGATAAAGATATAGAAATAAAGAGGGAGACATGGACAGACATAGATAGAAAGGTAGATAGATTGATAGATAGAAATTGATAGTAGATAGAGAGAAACATAGGTATCGAATGGTAATCGATTACGTTTTATTGCAAACGTGGGATGAAAATAGATAAAAATCCTGGCTGGACAAAAGTGGGAAGAAAACGGGTAGTAAAAAGATGTGGGACGAAAACAGGTGCACTGTTTTCATGAGTTATAAATCTTTGCATTGAACTCTTGTGCATTGTATTTGTGTAGCTTTGTAAGATATTATTGGAATTACATCATGTATGTTTGTCACTGTGTTTAAGATGTTATGTAAATTAAAATAAAAGTATTAGCAAGTATCAAAACATAAACAACAGCAACAACAATAATAACGACAACAACAGTAAAGCAACAGCAATAACAACAGCAACAGTAACAGAGCAATGAGATCTGAATGATTATGTAAAAATATCAGTCAATACACAATGTTAGATAAAATTGGAAGTTTGAGACTCTAATTTGGCACAATGCTAACAAAAATCGAGTTACAGAAATGAAGCCTGTGCATGGGCGACGATTAAAGTCTTCAGAGTAGTTATCTTTTATAACTAGTGTTAGTACAGTGCAGCCTCTCCTCTCCATAACGACCTTCGATATAACATCTTCTTTATGGATGTGCCCAGGTTCTGATTTTTTTTCTGTATATATAATTAGTAATTTTTTATTGCCTCTTTATAATGACAACTCTCTATAACATTTTTTTTTGTGCCGACGATGTCATTATAGAGAGGCTGCACTGTATATGGAGCAGATGTGTTATAAGTATAAGCCTCGTAGCCTTGATACATGTCCCCTGGAGAACTTGTAACTGCCCAGCATGGTTCCCTACCTTCTGCAGGTTTTCTGTAACAGCAAACTCCTGCACTACTGGTTGAATTCTACTCTAGCAGCTATTTCTGCCATGTCTTTGTCAACAACAAAACAACAAGCAGAACTTGTGTCAAATTGTTGGGCAAAGATACGGAGACACTTTTCCATGAGGAACTTGTTCTCCTTTGCCAAGAAAGCATGAAATGTGGGTATTCCATGGCCTTCACCATTAAGTACCATGATAGTTAGTAATGGATATAAATGATGGTTCACTTTATAGGTGTAATCCATCAACAATGTTTCAGGGTATTTGTTCAGCCTTTCTTTCATTAGTCCTGTTTGGAATGTGCAGAACCTGAAAGTTTGGAACCAGGTCTGTACCCGTTTCTTTGAACTATACCAACACAGTGAAAATAAACCAGATGAGACAACGCTAACTCTGAACCGTTTTATACTGTTGATCATCAAGATCCCAACAATTACCGCCGAAATATATTGTTTTCCGATTTCCATCTGGCCACACCCTCAACGACATTTGTCCTTGCAGAGTCGCAAAAATTCTTTTGTACCAATGACATTTCAACCTTTTCGTCCAACACTGTATCTGAAAAGGTCTAATCCTCAGTCCTAATTAAACGATTGGGTCTTGGTTTAAAAGTAGATACAGATTGCACCAAGAGGGAAGTTTTTTCAACCTCAGGCAAATCACAAAAGGGTTTCGGAATACTTCTCTGTCTTTTACGTCCAGTAAATGTTTGTTTATTACAGGGTCTGCCCCTAGGTTTCAACACTTTAGACATTGTTGGCCATCTTCAGCTAAGGCTAACTTCACTAGGGACACCCTTAGTTGAAATGGGCTCTGACTGTAAATCAGAAGAGAAGCGAGTACCACTGGTACCAGCATCAACAGCACTAGAGGAAGTGGCAGAACTAGCAACAGTAGTGGAAGGAATTACGACTGTATTGTCCTGCAAATTGACCCCACAGAAAACTTCACCAGTCACAGTGTCAGTGGAATCAGATGAAGGCAAACAAACATCCTTAACTGTGGTTGCTGCAGGAGACCTATCGGAAAGAAAGTCAACATTGGAATTAATTAGAAAGCGTGTTAGGTACGCGACTAACGGAGCCACCTCATAAAATCCTAAACTCAAAGAGACTCCATCCGACAGAGTAACTTGAGAGTCAACATACTTTATTTTACTTCGGCTGTTTCCATCCACGTGCAGTGTAGCAGACTGACATTTAAGTAATGAATCAGCCACTTGAACTTTGGACAAATAGTGAGCCTCATCAGCAATGTTTAGAACCGACTGAGTTGATGAAGGGAGGTCCTCTTCGCGAATGTTTTGTTGAAACATATATTTAGACACAGCAATAATGACCTTAGAAACCTTGTTAGATGGAATCCCCAGTTTGGCGTGCAATATCATCACAGTTTTACGAACATCTGCAGTGTACGCATGACAAAAGTCTTCTCGCAGCTTAATATCTCGAGGACAATTTTCACCTGTCAAATGAACAATTTCACTCTCCAACTGTTCTATTTTCTCTTTAAACTTGCATTTTGACTTGGACAATTGACTCCTCAGTTTTGATGCTTCTTTGTATAAGGAGTGCTTTTGTTGCTTTAAAGTGTTGACCTCTTGGAAATACTCTGATTTTGACTCTTCCACTTTCCTTACCCTGACTGATCTATTTTATTCTTCTGTAGAGCAATTTTAATGTTAGTACTTTTTTCAAGGCTTTTCATGCTTTCCTGTAGCTCAAGTATTTCTTTCTCCAGTCTGGTGATCTTTCTTTTGATAGTCTTCTTTCTCCCTTTCAAGAACTGTTCTCTCCTCCTCAAATGATTTTAACTTCTTCAACAGATTCTCATTATCCTTCTCCAAGCTAGCAAGGAGTTTTATTTTTCTCAGAGAGTCTCTACTCTAAGCAATCACAATCTGCACACTTAGGCCTGACCTCATCTTCCATAATAAACGCTGTGTTAAGGAAACTCTGTGTTGCTACCTTGTCTTTCTTTCCTTGTAGAGACTTCACATTCTTTACCACTCCATTGACTTTTGTTAGGATTTTGCTATCTTTAGATGTTGACCCTGTCCAATGCCTAATCCACCTCAAGAGAAAGTTGTTTGAGAGATTCTTCTTTCAAGCAATCGTATTGAGGGAAGTAATCATACCATTAGTGACAGGGGTGCAAATGAGTCGTTGGATGGGCCAGTAAGGAGACTGTTCATTGATATTACAAGAAGCTGCCCACAGATGCCTCTGTGACCACCAGTTTTCCTCAAAATAACCAACCACAGGCTGTGGTACAATGTTTGAAATTTGTTCTTTCAAGTGTTGAAATTCTTCATCAGACTGTTGTAACTTGACACATGAAAGTGTCAAGCACTGTCTTGATAGCTGCACCTCCCCCCCCAACCCAAATCTTTCTTCAAGTGTTGTTCAACAGTCTGTGATGTGAAACTGGCAAAGACTGACCACCCACAGGAACATCAGGGAAAACCGTTCCTATGGCAGCTATTTCTGCCATGTCTTTGTCAACAACAAAACAACGAGCAGAGCTTGTGTCAAATTGTTGGGCAAAGATGCGGAGACACTTTTCCATGATGAAGTTGTCCTCCTTTGCCAAGAAAGCATGATATATGGGTATTCCATGGCCTTCACCATCAAGTACCATGACAGTTAGTAAGGGATATAAATAATGGTTCACTTTATAGGTGTAATCCATTAACAATGTTTCAGGGTATTTGTTCAGTGTTTCTTTCATTAGTCCTGTTTGGAATGTGGAGAACCTGAAAGTTTGGAACCAGGTCTGTACCCATTTCTTTGAATTATACCAACACAGTGAAAATATACCAGATGAGACAACGCTGACTCTGAACCGTTTTATACTGTTGATCATCAAGATCCCAACAATTACCGCCGAAATATATTGTTTTCCGATTTCCATCTGGCCACACCCTCAAGGACATTTGCCCATGCAGAGTCGCGAAAATTCTCTTGTCCCAATGACATTTCAACCTTTTCATCCAACACTGTATCTGAAAAGGTCTGGACATTTTTCAGATCCTCAGTCCTAATTAAACGATTGGGTCTTAATTTAAAAGCAGATACAGATTGCACCAAGAGGGAAGTTTTTTCAGCCTCAGGCAAATCACAAAAAGGGTTTCGGAATACTTCTCTGTCTTTTACGTGCAGTCTTGGTAGACACGTTGGTAAATGTTTGTTTATTACAGGGTCTGCCCCTAGGTTTCAACACTTTAGACATTGTTGGCCATCTTCAGCTAAGGCTAACTTCACTAGGGACACCCTTAGTTGAAATGGGCTCTGACTGTAAATCAGAAGAGAAGCGAGTACCACTGGTACCAGCATCAACAGCACTAGAGGAAGTGGCAGAACTAGCAACAGTAGTGGAAGGAATTACGACTGTATTGTCCTGCAAATTGACCCCACAGAAAACTTCACCAGTCACAGTGTCAGTGGAATCAGATGAAGGCAAACAAACATCCTTAACTGTGGTTGCTGCAGGAGACCTATCGGAAAGAAAGTCAACATTGGAATTAATTAGAAAGCGTGTTAGGTACGCGACTAACGGAGCCACCTCATAAAATCCTAAACTCAAAGAGACTCCATCCGACAGAGTAACTTGAGAGTCAACATACTTTATTTTACTTCGGCTGTTTCCATCCACGTGCAGTGTAGCAGACTGACATTTAAGTAATGAATCAGCCACTTGAACTTTGGACAAATAGTGAGCCTCATCAGCAATGTTTAGAACCGACTGAGTTGATGAAGGGAGGTCCTCTTCGCGAATGTTTTGTTGAAACATATATTTAAACACAGCAGTAATGACCTTAGAAACCTTGCATTGTTGGATGCAATCCCCAGTTCGGCGTGTAATGTCATCACAGTTTTGCGAACATCTCCAGTGTACGCATGACAAAAGTCTTCTCGCAGCATAATATCTCGAGGACAAT